TAATAGTTCTAACCAATATACTTGATTAATAAAGATATTTTAGGAAAGACAAAATCTATTTATTACAAATAACTAACTTAATTTTTTTTAATCTCCTCAAATTAATCAACTAACTCTTATAATTAAGATCAGAGGTAGTATTTGGAGTGCGCATGATTGATCCCACTTGTAATTAATCTCATGCATGTCATTGATGCCAACCTCTCTAATCTAAAATTTTTCTTTCCTTGTTGTCTCCTCTTAAAATTTTGCCTATGATTTTTATTTTTTATTAAATATTTCACCTCAAAATTTTTACTTCATGCAACACTCGGTTTTTAACAAAGAGCTAGATAACTAATTTAAAAAAATTAATTAAGTTAGTTATTTGTAACAAATATGTATTGACTTTCCTAAATTACCTTTATTTAATCATATACATTAGAATTACACTTGATAAAAATACTTTACAATTAATAAGAGTATTTTTTTAGAACACATTATAGATTTGAAACATAAAATAAATTGGAGTCTTAAATATATTTATAATAGGAAGAGGTAGTAAAATGCTCTCGCCGACAACCTTATTCACATTCCTTTACATTGCAAAATTTGGCTATATATGTGCAAGACGCACACTAAAACCAAAACAGCAACAATCAGAGAGAGCGACGACTCTGCTCAGCTCAGCCATGTTTACTGAAACGAATAAGACGTCTCAGCCGGAACAGCCCATGCTAGCAAAATCGCCGTCGCATTTCTCGTCGGAATGCTGGTTCGAGGATGCATGCATACTCGACATGGATTACTTCATCAAAACCCTTTCAGGCATTAAAGCGAAAGGCGTGCGTGCGGACCTAATCGGCTCCATCATCATCCACTACGCCTCCAAATGGCTCCCCGAACTCTCCGACGGCGGCAACAACAACGGCGTCTCCGACAAACCCTCCCTCGCTCAACTCCAAGAATCGCCTGAAAGCGCGACGGCTTCGTGGATGAAGAAGCGATTCTTCGTTGAAACGCTTGTCGGAGTTCTGCCTCCGGAGAGGGATTCAATCCCTTGCAATTTCCTGCTTCGTCTTCTGAGAACGGCGAATATGGTCGGCGTGGAGCTGAATTACAAATCGGAGCTGGAGAAGAGGATATCGTGGCAGCTAGATCAGGCGTCGTTGAAGGAGATAATGATACCGTCGTTCAGTCACACGTGTGAGACGCTGTTAGATGTAGAGCTAGTGATAAGATTGGTGAAGAGGTTTTTGGGGCTAGATGTGGACGGAGGTAATAAGAGTGGGGTGGCTCTGATGAAGGTGGCCAAGTTGGTGGATGCGTACCTGGCAGAAACCGCCGTCGATGCGAATCTGAGCTTGTCGGAGTTCGTTGCGCTCGCCGGAGCTCTTCCCCCACATTCCAGAGCTACCGATGATGGCTTGTACAGAGCCATTGACACTTATCTTAAAGTATGTCTTCTTCCTTTAATCTTCGACACAAATAACTCCACCAAGCATTCTTTTTCCCCATTTAACTCTACAATATGATGATTTATTGATCGTATTAATAATAAACAACTACGGTATACTAATGATTGTTAGGTGATACAAAAAAATCATCCAGAAAAGAGTTATTTCAATTTTGATCATTTACTAGTAATACTTGATGAACATGATGAAGGAGATATAACATGTAAAAGGAAAACAACTGTAACCAATTAATCAGATTTAAACTTAATTGTTTTTCTAAAGCAGCATATTGAAATATTTTATTTCTCAAATAACTATTTTATTTTTAATGAATGATTAAATTTAATATATTTAACATATTGTAATTTTAATTATTTATCACATTTTCTATACAGAAATTGTTTCTTAAATATTTTTAATAAAATAGTCTTAAATTTTTATAAATTAAGAAAATAAATTTAAGAACATATTTTTTTTAATAAATTTAGTAATAACATGTCATGATTTTTAATTACGAGGATTTTATATATTTTCATAAAACAAAATATATATATATATATATATATTTAAGAATAATATAGGTAACCTGTGTTGTCACCACCACGAGATTCTCCTCTTCATCAGAAAAGGATTTCTGGAGCGAGTAAGAAAATGGAGTACGAGGCAGAGGCGAGAAACCAAATGGGCATGAATGACCTTTAGGTCAGCGGGTTATCATGTAACGACCTATCATATGTATTCGTTTTTTCTACTTTGGCTTTTTCTTCGTCCGCTTTGATAAAGCTAAAAGGTGGTGGTGGTAGTGTCTTATTCATATGATACCTCAATATAATATTACCTGCATTTCAAGGCACTACTCTCCCAATTTTCATTAGAAAATTCCTAAGAAAAGAAATTTAATTACCAAAAAATCTTAATGATAAGTGACTATTATGAACCTGGATCATTCTTTACTTTAAACTTGTCATTGCTTATTCTTCATTTGTCAATGATTTTTAAAGTAATTGAATCTTTTTTTGGGACCTGATTGTAGTTCTTCCAATTTTATTTCTCATCCAATCATTTCTTATACATATATTGTAGACCATATAACTATTCACACACACAAATACAAACATATATATATATATAGCCCTTTTCTTGTACGTATAACTACTCTCCCTTTTGCTGTATACATATGTTTGTGTGTGTGTTTCTAAAAGCTCTGTACAGTTGCTGAAAATCATATATATACCCAAAATTTCTAAGAACTTTGCATTTTGATATAATATGCAAAGACCATTTTTAAGATTTGTATTGCGCACATGCAATAAGTATCAAACAAAATACAGAAACTACCGGAGAAAAGGATAACATGTTATCTTGTTCAATTTGCAGAAAAGTGATGCATAGTGGTGGGCGAGTCGAGTTCACGACCCACACACACGCTGCGATATCTACTATATAAAAAGCTTACACATATATTTTTTATGAGAGTGATTTAATTTGTTTGGTGTGATGATATATATACATATATGTATATAGGCACATCCAGGGGTATCGAAGCAAGAAAGGAAAGGTCTGTGCAGGCTGATAGATTGCAGGAAACTAACCCCAGAAGCCTCACTTCACGCAGCTCAGAACGAACGCCTGCCTGTAAGAGCTGTGATCCAAGTCCTTTTCTCTGAGCAAACAAAGCTGCATCAGAATCGTCAGGTGGACTGGAGCGGCTCCTTCGGCGGCACAAGAAGCCCCAACGGCGGTGGTGACTTGCCGGCGCGGTCGTTCTCGAAGCGGGAGATGTACGCGCAGCAGATGGAGATAAGGAAACTGAAGGAAGACGTGTACAGGCTTCAGAGCCAGTGCAGTGTGATGCAAGTGCAGATGGAGAGGATGATGATGGCGAAGAACAAGAAGGGTTTCTTCAAGTGGAAGAAGTTTGGGATAACTGGGTTTGGTAAAAGTGTCAATGTGGTGGCTTCTTCTGTGGACAAGATTCAAGAAGGGATCGTTGAAGGAGAAGATGAGTTTGAAGTTAGACAAACTCCTTTGGACATGAAAACCAGATCATCCGTTAAACCCCGGACTCCTCACAAGTGGAGGAAATCTATGTCTTGAAAGTTGAAACACACAGCCTGGTCTGAGCTAGAGAGAGCTCAAGTTAGTTTGGATTTGTTTTGAGCTTGTCTATATATGCATGTATGTATTGTAATTTTATATGTTTTGTTTGACGTTAGCTAGACTTGCAGAATTGGTGTCAAGTAAGAAATAAGATCATGAGAAGAATTTTGTTTTGGTCCCAGATGAGTGATTCCTTCTAGTTCTTTTTCGTTGTGAAACATATCGTGCATATAATTAAGAAAAATATTAAAAGACTGTTAATTAATATTGCGGGGGATATCATGATACTTATTCTCACATTATGGCCCAGAAAGAAAGTTTGTTTTTGATTATTCTGTTTGTGATTGGCATATCTGGAATGAATTCAATTAAAAATAAAATTGATACCTAGGAATTCAAAATTTGTTATATTATTATCTATTAAGAATTTTCAAAATAATTACATTTTCAAACATATTAAATATAAATTGTTGGCCAAGAAAATCTTATTACATGAGGTTTTTTTTTTTTACAATTGTTTTAAAAATTTAATCGTTAACATTTTTGATAATATTTTTTTTTTATGAGAATTGGGATTGTAGGAGTAATTTCCACTTACATACCAGAGAAATGTCCCAGGATTAGTTGCTTCTCGTTGACAGGTGGAGATAGAGGTGTTCATCAAACCCGCTAACCCAGTATGCTTATCCGAGCCTGTGAAAAAATAGCTCTGTCTAGCCCGGAAAAAAACAACTCAAAGAAAAATGGACATTTTTGGGCTGAGCATATTATGGGTAGGGCTGGGCTGGGCTGCGGGCAAGGTATGTTGCTCTGCCCGTTTGGCCCTGCTTGTGATATATATATATCTATAATTCTTTTTTTTTTTTACCAAAAATACTTATAATGATATATAATATATAATAATATATATTATTCTCCCCTCTTCCATTTGCCCTAGATACATTTAGCGGTATGTGTAATTCTTCCTTCTTAGTATCTTTTTAATGTTTTTTTTAATATGGTTTAGTATCTTTTAGTTTGTTTTCATTATTGGTTGTCTTGCAAAGATGCAAAAGCAAGCTCACTTTAGTGTTGTATTAAAAGATATATCAATTTAAAACAAATCAAATTATTGATTTGTTGAATTTATTGTTTATTCAAGTATTTATTTCTTTATAATTATTGTAAGATACCATTATTTCAACTAAAAAATTTCTCACCAAAATATCACTATTTGAGTTTGGAAGCCTGCCCTGCCCAGCACGAAAATGATTAGGACTTTTATGGATAGGATAGGAGAGCGGATGCAGTCCGCTCATCTTTCGAGCCGGGTATCGGATGGGGCATGCCCTGGTCAGCTCTGCCCGTGAACACCCCCGGGCAGAGAGTTGACGACTAACAAATCAGATGAGGTGCCCGTTCACAGTTTACACTGTTCCCGTACAATTTCAAAACGTAAACGCCTTTTCCCCCACTTGCTTTTAACCGATAAACCTCACCCAAAAACCTCGAAGACACAATGCTCTGTATCTCCAATGGCTGCTTTTGCTAAAATCTCCTGCATCCATGCTCACAGAAACCATCTCATTCACCATCCTTCTGGCAATTTCAAGGCCAAGACTTTCACTTCCTCTCATAATCTTCAGACCCACCATCTGTCAATTAGAAAATCCGATGGAATCAGCGTTTCGAATTCAGTCACCAACAGTACCTCCATCAGTATTCAGAACCCAAGTTCGAATATTTGCCAATTATGCCTACTTGGAAACCTGGAACAAGCTTTGAGTTGCTTAGATTCTATGCATGAACTGCAAATTTCTGTGGAAGAGGATGCTTATATTGCTTTAGTTCGGCTCTGTGAATGGAAGCGGGCGCGAAAAGAAGGTTCTAGGGTTTACGCTTACATTTCAAAGTCGATTTGTAATTTAAGCCTTAAATTGGGAAATGCTCTGTTGAGTATGTTCGTGAAGTTCGGCAATTTGGTGGATGCATGGTATGTGTTTGGGAGAATGACGGAGAGAAATTTATTCTCTTGGAATGTTTTGGTTGGCGGGTATGCCAAAGCTGGGTTCTTCGATGAGGCTTTGAATTTGTACCATAGAATGTTGTGGGATGGTATGAGGCCTGATGTTTACACTTTCCCATGTGTTTTGAGAACTTGCGGTGGAATGCCGGACATAGTTAGGGGTAGAGAGATTCATGTGCATGTTATTAGATTTGGGTTTGAGTCAGATGTAGATGTGGTTAATTCGTTGATAACCATGTACGTAAAATGTGGTGATGTTGATACTGCAAGGTTGGTGTTCGATAAGATGCCTCATAGAGACACAATTTCTTGGAATGCCATGATTTCTGGGTACTTTGAAAATGGAGAATGTTTGGAGGGACTAAGATTATTTTCTATGATGCTTGACAGTTCTGTTGATCCAGATTTGATGACTATGACTAGTGTGATTACTGCTTGCGAACTACTTGGTGATGAGGACTTGGGAAGGGAAATTCATGGGTATGTGATGAGAACGGTGTTTGGGAAAGATGCCTCTGTTTATAATTCATTGATTCAAATGTACTCATCTGTTGGACTTATTGAGGAAGCCGAAAAAGTCTTTTCTCGAACAGAATGTAAAGATGTGGTGGCATGGACTGCAATGATATCAGGTTATGAGACTAGTTTGCTTCCTGAGAAAGCTCTAGATACATATAAAATGATGGAAATGGAAGGTATCATGCCAGATGAAATCACGTTAGCCAGTGCACTATGTGCATGTTCTTGTTTAGGGCAATTGGATATGGGTATGGCCCTTCATGAAGTTTCCAAGCAGACGGGGCTCATATCATATGTTATAGTTGCAAACACACTCATTGATATGTTTTCCAAGTGTAAACAAATTGACAAGGCTTTAGAAGTCTTCCACTCCATGCATGACAAGAATATTATATCCTGGACATCTATCATCCTTGGTCTTCGGATCAACAACCGGAGTTTTGAAGCTTTGTTTTTCTTTAGGGAGATGATGCTTGGGCTAAAGCCAAACTCTGTTACCTTGGTTTCTGTCCTATCTGCATGTTCTAGAATAGGAGCTTTGACTTGTGGAAAAGAGATTCATGCCCATGCATTGAGGACTGGACTAGGTTTTGATGGTTTTCTGCCCAATGCAATTTTAGACATGTATGTAAGGTGTGGAAGAATGGAGTCTGCTTGGAAACAATTTTTCTTAGGTGATCAAGATGTTGCAGCATGGAACATTCTACTGACAGGATATGCTGAACATGGGAAAGGAATGCTTGCCATAGAACTTTTTCAGAGAATGGTAGAGTCAAACGTCATCCCTGATGAAATTACATTTATATCCCTTTTGTGTGCTTGTAGCAGATCTGGTATGGTGGCAGAAGGATTGGAATATTTTAACAGCATGAAACATAAGTACTTCATTACACCTAACCTGAAACACTATGCATGTGTGGTTGATTTGCTTGGCCGTGCCGGAAAATTGGATGATGCTTATGAATTCATACAGAAAATACCAATGAAACCAGATCCAGCAATTTGGGGAGCATTGTTAAACGCATGCAGGATTCACCATCATTTTGAGCTTGGGGAACTTGCTGCTCATAATATCTTTCAAGATGATACAAAAAGTGTAGGATATTATATTCTTCTGTCCAATCTATATGCTGACAGTGGCAGATGGGACAAAGTTGCAAGGCTAAGAGAAATGATGAGACAAAATGGACTAGTAGTAGATCCTGGATGCAGCTGGGTGGAAGTCAAGGGCAAGGTGCATGCTTTTTTAAGTGGTGATTACTTTCACCCTCAAATGGACGAAATAAATGTAGTTTTGAAGGGATTTTATGAGAAGATGAAGGAAACTGGTTTTGGATGGCAAGAGAACAGCCCTTCAGACGTACTTGAAGCTTCTAAAGCTGATATATTTTGTGGCCACAGTGAAAGACAAGCCATTGCTTTTGGACTTATTAATACTGCCCCGGGTATGCCCATTTGGGTCACTAAGAATCTGTATATGTGCCAAAGTTGTCATGATACGGTCAAATTTATCTCTAAAGTGGTTCGAAGAGATATTTCTGTTAGGGATGCTGAACAGTTTCACCATTTCAAGGGAGGCATCTGCTCTTGCATGGATGAAGGTTATTGAAGTCAGAGAAATTAGCAGAAAAACTGGAAGATATATATATGGCATTGTAATAGAAAAATTATAGTTGTTGGAAACTTCCTGTTACACTGTAAATGATAACGGGGTTGTGATGAGAATGCTGATCAGCCCCATACATAAGTGATGTGAATGTTATATAGAAAATAACAGATTCTCCTATGTCTTGCACATAAATTGTTTGTTGAAGCATATAATTTTTGTTCAACATTACCATCCAGGAAAAATCAAAGTCAAGGAAGCTGTCCCTATGACCTGAAGTAACTTGTAACCTGCATTTTGACAAGAATAGATTTGTGGGGTTTGACTGTGGAAACTTATTTAGAAATGCCTTGCAGTAATATGTCGAGTCAGAGGTGAAGGTATAAGGATGCCATGGTCTTAGATGCTGAAGATTAAAGATGTCCATGCTTGGCATATGCCGACTAAAATTCCTTTGACAAATGCACATATCTTGTACCAGCATGTTACTTATATAGATATTTGATGAGTTGTGATGTTAATTCTTCTACAGAGAGAAATTATGTGCCACTTTACCAGCATGTCATGTTGGTATGCTATTTTAGTACTACTAGGTCTTATCAGTTCTGCTTCTATAACAGCATGTCATGTTTTTGTACAATTGGATCTTATCAGTCGAGAGAATTTTCAAACCACAATTTATAAAACTTCTATATAAAGGGCAACGAAGTTGGCAATATATATTATATATATGTGTATGGCAATGAAGTAGGAAAGCTGGAAGAAAGGGAAAAAAAACTGTTATCACACATATTTGACACTAGATATTATACACAAATCAGACAATTGAATGGCGATATTTTACACAATTATTCTCGTTTTTTTTTTTTTTAAATTTCTTACAACACAATAGGTTATTCAACTAGCATCACTCCCCAGTTTTAGAAGATTAAAAAGGTAAAACCCAATTGATAGAAATCAAATTTTCACTGCTTTCTTGATTGTCTTGAAGGAAGACCTGATAAAGCTGTTTGCTGAAGAGTGATTCTCATCATTGCCCTTTCTAATCCCAAGAAGCAAGGATGGAGAAGATGGGATTCGCCTCAAGGCTCTGGCACTCTCTGACCTGGCAAGCTTTTTTTCCTTTCTATTGCATTCCGTTCGTTCCATCCCGTCAAAACTTTTATTGCCATTTTCTTCACTTATGCAAACTTCTTCTCCTGTGTAAATTTTATTTTCTGTGTGAATAAAATTTGTACCATCTTCTTTCTCTGTCCAATCATTCTTGTCTTGAGGAACTGGCAGCTGCTTCTCTTGTTGTGGGTACTTCTGGTTTATTTGTCTGATTATTTCCTCAGTCCCACTAGTTTCATTTCCATGAGTTTCTTCTAATGGATCCATGTCTTGACTATTTTCTAAAAGAATTTGAAGCCACTTCTCCACATTCCCTTTGCCACGTTCCTGCCTGATATGTTCATCTTCCTCAATTTCTGTTCCTTGAAAAACTGGAAATGAACTCTCACAACTTTCCTTACCTACCTTGATATTTAGCTTTTGAAGTTTTCGCTCAATTGGGCTTTCGTCCTTCAAGGCAACACTTGATCCCTTATGCTCCTCAAGGTTCTCTTCTGCTATGTAATGAGTTGGTATTTTCAGTTCCTGATTCTTTTCCTCTTGATTTTTTTCTTCATTTGCAGATAAACCAGCTTCTGATGCTTTTTGTTCCTCCTCCAAATATAATCTAAGCTCCTTGTGCAAAGGAGTTCTTGGCCTGATTGCGGGCAAGCAAAGGAGAGGTTTACTTTCTCTCTCTTCATCAAAGGTGGAATCACCATCTATTCTTATTCTCTTCCTTCCTTGATCCCATTCAGGCCTTATCTGCTTCTCTATTTCATCTCTCTGTTTATACCTGCGGTGGAGTTCTTTCTCTGCATTATCACAAATTGCCTTCTGAGCTTCCAGTCTAGCCATGAGTGCATTAGTAGCAGCCTGGTTCAATCTAACCTGTTCCTTATAGATGACACTCCTGCAACAACAATTTTCAGAAGGTAATATTTAAACACTAGCAAATTTAAGTATCAACCAGATTCTCATAAATAGTTTCATATAATTTTGAATGAATCTTCACATGTATGTTCCTTTAGGGCTAAAACATGAGTGATAAGGATTAAACTTCTGACAACTTGATTGTTGAAAACTTTGATGCAAAAGTTTAAATAAGAAAACAAATTCTCATGGATAAACTTATTGAGGAAAGATACAATGTGTTCCCTTGAAAATATACCATTTATGAGTCATTGGTGTATTTATATAAGATCCCTGAAAGTTTAAAACTAGTTATATGTGTTATACGTGTGCACTAAGTTAATTGTCAAAATATACTAATTAAACAGTTTCGGTTTCATAGAGTGATTAATCTGACTATCTTTCAAGAGATTAATTCTCAAGAGTTAATTCCAAATAATTTGCATTTTCTCTAAGATATAATCTCTAAAGAAATAATTTAATCTTACTGGTGCATGGTGTCCCTGATCATCTTCTCTAGCGTGGTTCTATAAGAAGATTGAGCCTCAGATAACCGCCTGCATTTTTCTGCCTTTCTCCTGGCTTTTATGAGTGCCAATTCCAGGTCTTGAATTATGAGCTTCTCCTCCTCATTTGTGAGTCTCATCTCATTCACTTCGTCATCAAGCTTCTGAATTTCAGCCTGCATTCTTGTAGCTTCTTCTCTTTGCTTTAAGGAATCTCTAGCCATCACAATGGCCTGATATGGGTTCTTTGCAAAATCTGGATCTTCATTTTCTTTTAGGAGTTTACCCTTGCCTTTTCTTGCAGCAACTGATGATAGAATATCAAACAAATGCAAACAGAGAATGTTCAGCAAATCTTGATCTACATTATAACCAAGTTTAGTGAATGGGTGTATATAAAGTTTATCTACCAAGGGGGTTTTTACCTGAATTATGCCCTCCAATTGTGTAATTATGATCATTTTCAATGATTTGAGCTTATTATTATTTTAATTAAGTTAACTGATTGTTTCTATAAATGGCTCTCTTACGTCCAACTAGCATGTTCATCCAGTGAAATATAAAACAGTAGCTTCAGCAGCACAAGAAACTAGTCGTTGTGGATGCAGTTAATTTAAGACTTGCGCTTTAGGAAGCGGATTCTTTAGGGAATCTACATTGTAATAATTAATGTGCTACTTGAACTATTGGAAGCATGTGGAGATACAGTACCATTATATCAAAGAGAAGGTATTCTGAGGAGAAATAAAGATCCATCAAATCAAGACCAAAGATCAAATATAAGATTTACTCATTAAATCACTGGGTAAGAGCCAAGTTCAACGAATTGAAGAAACAATTCAAAATGAAAGAATGGTCGTTGAGGAGAGAGTATTAAATATTAACCAACTCTCTCAAGAACCTTCTCTTTAGATTCTACTCACTTTGGGTAAATATTTTCTTTCTTTGTTAGGTATTTCTTCCTATCGCCCCAAAGCTACTTGATGGTGATGACAATGAGATATATCTAGAATAAGGTAGCCTCCTAGGGAAACTATTTGGAAACGGAATGAAATTGGGTGCGGAGCAATGAGGAAAAGATGTATATAAGTGATAACTTTCTCCTTCTCCTTAGATTCTTCTCACTCTTTTAGCAGATGAATTTAGCATTCCCTCAAGTGTGAGTCTGTGGTTGATCTTATATACAAGCTACCCTATACTGAAAATCCCATAAACAACAATTCCCTGCTGAAGTTAAATCAGGTCCAACCCAATCTTTGGACTTCAAAAAGTGTGCAATTCTATTCAATGTGTGACTTCCCACATCAAGCCAAGTCTGCTCACAATTGATACATACTAACAGAAACCAAATTGGTGTTGGGTTTGGGCTTCTTTCCTATGTAGAGAAAGGCTCAATTATTTGAAGCTCATTTGTGTCTCACTTAGAGAGGTTAGATTAGGGTAAGAGTAAGAGGTCTTATTGGGCAACCATTTGAGAGAGAAGAAGATAGAAAGTCATTTTTTACATCTTCATAGGGAAGTCTCAATAAATCAAAGTTTGTGTGTTTGGTAACCGCTAGATTGAGCTGAAATTTTATCAACGGGTTTGGGACATTAAGATTTGTCTCTTAGTGTGAGAGATATTCAGTTCGCCCTGCAACCTTTCTTGTGGGTGTTTTTACTTTCTTCATTCTCTATTTTAAACTTGTGGCTTTGGTTGTTTGTCTGGTTATTTGCACTTTTTAGGACATTAAGATTCTTTTATACCCTATTTTGATCACAGTGGGGCTGGGTTTTCATTGGTATGGATGACCTGTGGTTTTTACCATCGCTTTAAGGGGTTTTCCATATTAATAATTTTGGTGTCTCTTGTGCTACTTAATTTCTTCCATATATTATCACTCCTTAAATATTCTTGCAAGTGATGAGAGTTTATTTTCGCTGTGTATAAGTCATTGGCTTGAGTTGTGTCTTTTTCTCATTATAGTAGTACCAGACCTAGGTTATCTAGTTATTAAATTGTTTGACTTACTTGAATGATGGAAATATATAAATGACATTATTATCATTTATGGAAGGGCAAGATGAAGGATTTGCTTTTTATTAAGAATATGCATCTTCTTGTATTTGCTACTGAAAAGTCAAATTCTAAATTTGATGTGGATTGGATTTTGAGCATTAGCATGTGTGATTTTATTCGGCAATGTATAGCAGATAATGTTTATAACCACATTGTTGATGAGACACATACAAGAACCTTATGGGAGAAGATTGAGTCCTTGTATGCAGGAAATAATAAATTGTATTTGTTGAGATGTCTAATGAATTTGAAGTACAAGGATGAGACTTCTATTTTGGATCACTTGGAAGAATTTCAAGGGCTCCTAGATTAATTGTCAGGAATGTGTATCAAGTTTGAAGACGAGGTGTTGGGACAATGTCTTCTAAATACTCTACCTAAGTTTGTTACACCAAGAAAGGAGTTCTCCACATCTTACGCATCCAGTTACTTTGAGGTGTTAAAGATGCATAATTGTGGCTTATCGAATATGCTTGGAGTTGGTCATGTTTGTTTTTAAACAAACATGTGGAGAACATGTTCCAAATGCTTGTTTTAATTTGACCTTTGTTATGTGCGCGTGTTGATGATGACAATTTTGATAACCACTTTGGCTTTGGGATGGGTAGAGGAGAAATTTTTTCTAAACTGTATATGACAAAAGCTAGACAATGTGAATGCCACAGAGATAGAGGCATCAAATTTGTGATATCGAAGGCTTGATCATATAAGTGAAAAATGGTTAAATTACTTGGCCAAAATGGATGTACTTCTTGGATTGATGAGTGCATAATTGGAAAATCATTCTCACCGCATGGATGGCAAGCAAATTAAAGTATCTTTCAAGAAGCATCCTCCTTTAAGAAAGTCAGAGTTGCTTGAATTGGTGCATTTTGACATTTGTGAAAAGTTTGAACATTCGTTAACCACTAGATCAGGCTGAAATTTTGTTAACAGGTTTGTGGTATCTAATGCGTCATTTTCAATGGTTGGATTGTCCACTTGTTGTCTGGTGCGAGAGATATTTTGTTCACCCTACAAAGCATCCTCCTTTAAGAAAGTCAGAGTTGCTTGAATTGGTGCATTTTGACATTTGTGAAAAGTTTGAACATTCGTTAACCACTAGATCAGGCTGAAATTTTGTTAACAGGTTTGTGGTATCTAATGCGTCATTTTCAATGGTTGGATTGTCCACTTGATGTCTGGTGCGAGAGATATTTTGTTCACCCTACAACCTTTCTTTTCAGGGGTTTTTTAGCTTCTTAATTCTCTATTATAAGGTTGTTGCTTTGGTTATTTGACTAGTTATTGCACTTGTTTTTGCATTTGGTTGAGACTCTCTTGTACCCTATTTTGATAATAGTGGAGCTAATTTTTATTGGATTGGACAAATCGTAGGCTTTTCTTTTTGTATTGAGGGGTTTTCCATGCTAATAATTTTGGTGAATCCCTTGCTATTGAATAATTTTTTCCATATATTTGTTTAATTGCTCCCTATATTTTCTTGCAAGTGATGAGAATTTATTTTCGCTGTGTACAAGTCATTAGCTTGAGTTGTTTGTTTATCTAATCACTTGGGGGAGCTATATATGTACACGTGATGGTTGGGTTTAGAAGATGCATGTGAGTGTAAGAGTTAGAGTGGAGAGCAGGCAACGAAACAAGAGAGTACGAAGAGAGTTGAGTGTCAAGAGTTGATGTACGAGTGAGTGAAAAGACAAAAGTGAGTGAAATATTTAGCAAATCATAGTTTGAATGTGGGATGAAAATTTACTTTTAAGTCCTTATCTTTTTTTTTTTTTTAAGTTTTCTCATAAGTCCGTATCTTTCTTCACAATGAAGCAAGAGATTGTGAAGAGTTAAGTGTCAAGAGCTAATGTGTAGGTGAGTGAAAAGACAAAATTAGTGAAGTGTAAATCAATCATAGTCTGAATGTGCGATAAAATTTCCTTTTAAGTCCCTATCTTTCTATTAAGTTTCATTACTTAGGAGAATATAAAGAGAGTTAAGTGTCAAGATAAATTGTGTTGGCTCTGATACCACTCCGAGATGTTAGCTAAACAAACCAAGCCAACATAGTCTGATATCCAAAACTTTAGTCCAAATAAGGCTATTCCTTCCCAACTCATCAACGGGTCATGTCAGAACTCTCATCTCTGAATACTAGATGTGCAAGCAAGTAAAGTATAAATTAAATCATAGTTTGAATGTGATAGCTTAACAAAGCGGATTATATGGTCACCAATTTAAAGATCCATAATATAATCATGCACTAACCTATTGCAGGAGACATGGGCCTCGGCTTCCGGTTATAATCCAGTTGCTTCAAAGCTAATTTATCAAAAGATTCCCTTCGGCATTCCACGATAGCAGCGGGAGCAAGCCCAATTTCTTCTTTCAATCCAATGAAATGCTGAGGAAAAGAATGAGAATCCACTATTTGAGAGGCATTCAGTTCTTCATTTTCTCCATCAGAGAATAGATAGGAGAAGGCCCTGTGCCTGTGGTAATTTGCAAAAATAGAAATTTTGTCACCTACTCCATTTAATGTCCTGATTTTATTTATAACTGGACTAGACAGCTGAGTTGTCTTGTTGGTTATTATAGTTTTATAGTAAAATATGTCTAGAGTCTAAAAAAGAATTTGTGTCCTATGATCTTAGTGATGGTTAAATTTTTTTACTGTGCCATTAAGTTATACTGGCTTGGTTAATTATCCATCTTTCCAACAGTTCGAATATGCATAATTCATACTATCAAACTCACATCACACTCACGAGTGATTTTCACTAAATCATGTACTTTTATCTATTTTGTTGGTAGGAATAACGCTTGGAATGCCGAAATTGGTACATGATCATGTTAATAATATTTAGGAGCAAACTAATGAATTAAAGCATAAAGAACTAATGACTGAGTACTAGAATACTCAAAGCTAAACGACAAGGAATAGATTTAAAATCTTAATACTATATGAATCTAATTTAAGCATATTATAACAGGGACGGATAATTAAAAAAAGGAAGAAGAAGAAGAAAGAGTGAAGGAAGTACCTACCTGAAGTCTGAGTTTGGAGAAGCAAAAATGGAGAGGAATTGATTTACAGAGAGACCCAATTGGAAATCCCACCATGGAACTAGGAATTCCAGCTTATTCTTCCTCTTCTTGCAGGCTTGCCGTTGCAATATCCTCAGATTGCTCAGAACAGTCAATCCTCCTCCTGCATATTCGTTTAACCCAGCAAGGCAAAATTAAGCTATTACACCTTTTACACATTCTCAGAGGGGTTGAGCAGGGCGGGGAAGAGAGAGATTACTTGAACAAGGAAACCAGTGATCGATTTCCCAAGCAAGAGGAGAGGCTGAATCAGCATGATAATAAAGGACATTGCCATAAGGATCTACTCGAATTACAGCAGGATCAAACCCAGCATTCCTGAGATTTTCGCAGATTCAAAAACTTCCAGTGTCACCCAATTGAAACCTTAAATTCCCTTTCGTGCTCAGGTGAAAACTAAGTTAAAGATCTTACCCCAAATGGTTTAGCTGCTTCCACAGGAGACTGACAAAAATCTTTGGCTTCGCGGTTGGCTTCGCTTTCGGATCGATTATTGGGAACATCATATCTAAATCCCTCGCCCTCGCAGCCTAATTATTATCTCAGAGCAAAATCAAATCACAATCATGTAGAATACATATATATATATATATATATATATATCTTTGACGCTGATCCACAAATGAAATCAATTTTCTTACCTCGTCTTCCTCCAGAGCGTATGGCGTGAAGATGAACGGAGGGCCATGGCTGTATGGACTAAGACACCGATCGTGGCAGAGCTTCGCGTAGGCTTTTGGATAACCAAGGTTCTCGTTGACGGCCATTTCCTCCGGCGTGAACCCGTAATCGTCGGCCATCGTCTTGAAGGTACTTGTTGGTCTGTACCGAAGTTGTGATGGAGACGCACAGAGTGAAGCGGGGGAGAGCGTGTTTTGTTGATGAAGAACTAACGGTCGAATTGAACTAATTTGAAAGGCTTCCTTCAAAGTAACCAAAATATTCAAAGCGAGAGATGGTAGCGTCTTGCTCAAGCCGCGTAACGGCTATATGAGATGGTGGATATGTGACCGACCCCACAGGGCCCACGCTAATTAAAAAATAATAATAATAAATACGGTGATAAAGTTTGTTGTGTGACTATGAGATACCCAGATCAAATCTTGCACTAACTCTGCTTTTTCAACAATTTCAAAAATGTCTTCGACCCAAAAAAGATACTCGTCCCCTGCTTAATATAAAAAATAATTAGAGTTAATATTAATCATATATATAAGATTCATTTCATATGTTTATTAATTTTTTTAAATTAATCTTATTGATATTTTCTTAATAATAATCAAGTAGTAGAAGAGAAAGAAAGAAAATTAAGGAAAACATTTAACATGTTTTAGTAAAAATACATCATATTAATTAATTTAATTAACATATTTAATCTATTCAAATTAGTTATGTAAATCTTATATTAAGGATCAGATAAGTATTTAAATATTTAATCTGATTAAAAAAATTTAAAGATGCTTTTTTTTTGGGGGGGTATTGTCTAGAAATTTAGTTAGTATTTGATTTAATTCGGAAATAATAATTTTTTAACCAACGAAATAATGATATTACTTTCATAGGATTGGAAGCGTTAAAGTATTAGAGGCATTGAATCATTTAATTTAAAAAGTTACCTATCAATTGAACAATCAACTGGGGGGGTTCAAATTGGTTCAAACAGCAACTAAATTGACAATAAGAAAAGGTAAAGAAAAATAACTATGATTGAAGAAAGTTAAAGTGTCGGGTATTAGGTAGATAATGTCACGTTTAAATTTTTTTTCAAAAAGGAAACTCAGGAAATGATGGGAGCCAAATTATGAAGCAAAATTTTAGGGTCAGAGCCATTAAAAGGAACTAAAAAGTTCCTTTTAGTTCAAAGTACACCTAAAAAAGGAAATCCAAATTTGTGAGGCTTGTGTCCCCATGGCAATAGATATTGCACATTCTCCAAAATTTGGATGTTGCTGAGATTAGATTGGGGGGAGCTTTTTCGTGGGCGGTGTAAAGCTATGTGGCATATATTCTTCATGTCTTTGGTCAATTTTTTCTTTATCTAATTTGAATTCTTCATGTTTGTGGGCCACCAACAAAAAAAATCAACCTGAGTTACTCTTTCGGTTCTTAATATAAGATATATTTAACTAATTTGATTAGATTAAGAAAATTAGGTAAGTTAGTTAATTATAAGAAATATGACATGTTTTTTCTAAAACACTATAACCATATTTCTTAATATCCTTCTTTTCTCATTTACTTGATTATGGCTGAAAAAATATCCATAAGGCTAATTTTAAAAAAATTGATAAATATGATAAATAGATTTTATATTTAAGATTAAAATTAACTTAATAATTAGGTTTTATATTAAGGAGCAGATGAGTTTTTTTTTTGGGTTCTTGCTAATTTCAGTGATTAATTGATTATGCCCTCCTCCCAAAAAGAATAAAAAGGAAAAGAAAATGGGTGATGAAGAAGCAGCCTCAATGATATCTCTATATAATGCTATTTCTGGTGAGTCTATAGACACAGAATATTATCTCGTCTCAACATTTGTGGATACGAACTCGAATGGGCCTCATTCATTTTTTTGGGTACAATTGTTTATTTAATCTTTTTTTTTATCAGCCAATTGTTTGTATAATGTAAATCTAAAATTTTGATAGGAGGGAAACTTGGCCCAATACCAAATCATCCCATGAGTTGACCTATTTAAATATAAACCAAAAGGAGAACCACAATTGTATCCAAAAAAAAAAAAGAACTATAATAAGATCCTAAGGAGAAAATATACTGATACAAAAGTCTCAAAACAACTGAGTAGTTTATAATGACAAACTCTAGAATAAGAAATGATAATAGGTTTCCTAGTCATAATTTTAATTTTTTTGTAAAATATTTGTTATTTATCATGGGAAATTTTCTTAAGAGTTGATTTATTTTGCTCTCTGTAAGTGAAAACTGTATTTTTCTCAAAGAAATCATTTAATCTTTAATATTATTTATTTTATTCCAGAATATATGATATTATAAATTAAATTAGAGTAACCAGAAAATAAAAAGTAAAGATTTGTTGGCATAATTTTCTATTCAAAAAAATCGAATATGAAATCTTAGTTAAGGGCCAATAACAATTTTTTTAACCCGTCAAGATAACCCTTAGTAATTAGCTGGAAAGGGATAAGGAGTGGTTTTAATTAATGAAAGAAGCGCTTTTTTAATTATTATTTAAGATAAGTAGTTAAATATTTTTTTCCAGCACTTACCCAAATGGGATATATATAGGGAACACTTTAATTTAAATTAAGTACTCCTCAATTAAATTACCATTTTATTTATTGTCATCGTTTTCTAATCATCATACATGCATATGGACCAGCAGATCAGAGAAAGCATATAATACACACATATATAAATATATATATATTTATATATATTCGTGTGTGTGTGTTCATGTTCCTAGCTACGTATGTTATATTATATAGCTTTCAGTCATTTTCTGCCGTTTTCTTCTTCTAGAAGATAAACTAATTTCAGCCTTTTCTTATCAGCTTGATGAAAAGATCTTGAAATTCATGTGATTTTCTGGGTAGCCAATCAAACATGTGCCACCGGTTTCTGTATTACTTCAATTTTCAATTTTCACACGTAATGGTGTTCCTTTGCATTCAATTCGATTACCATCTTTTTTTTGTTTTTGTCCTCAATTACTTTCTTAATTTTTCTGGCCCTTTGAATCTGAATAAAATAGCTTCTAGAATCGTGTGTGTGTGTGTGTGTGTGTGTGTGAAGATTTAGGTACACATATACACTAAGCACCTAATTAATGTATGACTCGATATGTCTAAACCAGATCACATGTACATACCTGTGCCTGTTCATAATAGTATCTAAATCTTATCAAAAAGTTGTTGTTGTTGTTATTATTATTATTATTATTATTATTAAATATTCGATTTTCTTTTTGAATAAGTTAGTGATCGAATCTTGTGGGGAAGAAATTGTGAATTACCGCTTTAATTGGATTTAACAGTATACATCCAATTAAATTTGGTAGTATGGCGCATCGAATAAGCATAACAAAATAATTATAAAAAAAAAAAAGTAGAGAGACGTCCAGCAAGTTAATTATATCCTCTAGTTCTATTTATAAGAACTTATCAATAATTTTATTAAATTTAAAAAATTAATTAAAATTAGTTGTTTTTATGAAATATCAAAATTGTCCTCCCGAAAAGTCATTAGTTAGAAGGGCTTGTTTAATTAGTTAAAATATTTATACTACTTCCAGTCCTATTTATAAAACCTAATTTGTAGACTACAAACGGGATTTTATAAATAGGACCGGAGATAATAATTGGTAAATAGCTGAGTCACTTAAATATAAAGTTTTGAGTTTAAACCAAGTCATGTATATTAAAAAAGAGTTTGTTAAAAGAGGCAAAACCACTTCAGTGACTTTTAGGGATATTAAATGAAAAAATTATTACTTTAGACAAAACGTGATATGGGAATTCCTTTTATTTTTTTAAATATCAAATATATTTATAAATATAAAAAGTTAGTACTCTTCCGGTCCTTAATATATGATCCAATTATTGAGTTGTTTTGGTCCTAAATATAAGACCAATTTCTCATATTTATCAATTTTCTCTAAATTACCTCTATGGATACTCCCTCGACCATAATTAAGTAGAAGAGGAAGAAGGGATATTAAAAAAAATGATTATGATATTTTAGAAAAAACGTGTCATATTTTTTATGATTAACTAATTTACCTAACTTTCTTAATCTAATCAAATTAGTTAAATAGGTCTTATATTAAAGATCGGAGGAGTACAACGTAACATGACCCCAAAAGTATAATAAACAAAAGATAATAGCACACCAGACACAAATTTATACGTGGGTTCATAGAATCATAGGACTCAACGATACGGACATAGCAACTACCTTTTGTGTGGTATATGCAAAAAAATATTTTCAAAAAATATTTTCACACAAGTCAAAACAAAACTCTTCTCACGTATTTATCTTATATACTGTAAAATTATGGTTTTATTTCTATCTGAAGACTCTTTCCAACCATGTCAGTCAAATTAAAAAACCTGTTAGGAACTAATATATGGAGTATTTTGTGTTTATTCTTTTTTCCCCCCCTATGAACGACGGAGTTTTGACGCAAGTTGGGGGGTGGGTGTGTGTGTTTTTCTTCTCTCTTTTTTGGCCTTTAATGTAATGTAACATGCCGGTTGAAGTTTATTAATTATAAAGATTTTTAAAGATGTTATGATTATTACATGGTTGAAAAATTAAGAAAAATTTCAAAGAAAATGACATGAACTGCATCATCGTGGTGTAAGATGGTCCATTAACATTATCTCTGGATGAGATCATCACTTTCTTTTTTGTCTTGCACGATTTTCTTGACTCTTATCATCAAAAGCTTTAGTTAATCTAACTTCTCTATTGGTTTTCATACTTGAAGTCTGAAGGTTTCCTGCTTGCGTTTATTTGTCAAAAGAAAAAAAAATTAATTTGTTATGGTGAAGTAGTCTAATACGAAACCTTGCCAAAAAGAATATTGAAGAAATAAATGATTATTCTAGACACTAGACTCCCTCATATCTTATACAAATAATATAGAAATGAATTATTATTGATAGTTATTAAAGTAATATAATCATCTATAGTTTTTTTTAAAATAAAATTATAATAAGATTATTTTTTATATGATAAAATTAATTTTGATCTATTTTATTTATTACCCATGAAAAAATTATTGAAATTTTACATAACATATTTTAACTTTAGAAAGTATCAATTTAATTGATAATAAATCGTTGCAAAATGGCCAGAGGAACTATAATTCTTGTTGTACAAGTTTTATTAAGAGTTAATTTGTTTGGTCAGAAAAAGTTAAGAGGTAATTTGTTCATATTGCTAACATGAACAGGATATTAATTGTTGTGGACATGCCGTTTCCGCAAGGGTAGAGAAATGAAAATATTTACTAACTCTAGTTGAATCAAGTAGAAGAAACTTTTTTTTTTTGACCTTGAATCAAATAGAAGAAACATAATTCTTCGTAAATATGATTAAATTGTATTAGATTAAAATAATTATATTGAAAAAACTACTAACAATATTTGAATATGATGATATAATATTATCAAATATTCAAATATCAAATAGCTGTTTAGGAAAAGGAGAAGGAGGGAGAGAAGAATATGTCACTAGCGAAATTAAAGCTGCATAGCATGACCATGTACTATCTCCGACTAGTTAACTAATTTATGTAGGTTAAAAAAATAACTTAAAATTATTTATTTGTAATAAATAGGTATTATTTTTTCTAAAATATCCTTGCTAACGAAATTTATTACTAGAACTACTACTATTAGAAAGACTATCTCAAAAAAATAAAATAAAAGACAAAATAAATTATGGTTTTATATTTAGTACTAAAATAAAAGTCAAACGAACTATTATATTAAGAATTAGAGGCAGTATATCTTAATTAATTCTTCACTAAGATAAGGGGAGATATAACTTCCAGTCCTAAATATAAAAATTAAGTAATTAACTCATGAAATTAAAAAAATTTGTTAAGTTAATTATTTGTTATTATTATGTAAAAATTGTGTGTTACTTTTTTTAAAATAAATTTTTTAATGTGAGTATTAAATATGGGGACAACTAAAAGCGAGAAAAAATTATAAAATCAAGAAGGACAATGTGAGGGGAAACCTGTTAAAGGAGGGAAATAAAATCAATTAAAATATATATATATATATATATATATATATATATATAGAGGACCAAACTGTATCTACCAATTAGATTTTAAACTTAGAATTAGAGGGAGTAGATGGTAACATTAATTTCTAGTAACTCTCATGCATTGCATCATGTTTTCAAAGACTTACAAATATGATTTTTTTTCATGAGTCATACGTCTTAAAAGCAGAAAATCATGGGAGGCTTTCTAGGACTACAAGAAGTGGGGAAGAAAACCAACCATATGTATGATGACTAAATATCGTAATTGCGTGGACATAATTTTATTTTAATAAGTTTGGTGTAAATAAGGATATATTCAACTCCTAAAGTCAGAGGCCAGCTCCACTTTTCAAAGTTTGACTCTTCAAATTTCCGGCTGCCATCTAGAGCACAAAAAGTTTGTTTGTAAATTATAATTAGAATGAAATCTAGAAAAGGAGGAGAATATTTAATGAAGTCAATTAATTAAACAACTTCCAATTTTTTCCTTAATTCATATTCTTCAAGTAAATAATAATTAGAAATTAATATTTTTTTTAATTAAATTATCTGTTGTCTGGAAACTATATGATTGAGTCTCAACTATTCTGGGCCGAAATAGTAGTTGTAGCTTTAAACTCATATGGAGCGCATGTATTTTTATTTTTAACATAGGATATTTTAAAAAATTTTAATATTAAAAATATCAATAAAATATTATTTTTATAACTTATAAATGAAATTTAAATTATTTAATAAATATATTGCAAATTGAAATATTACCTAGAAAGGGGTGAATGGAAGATGATTCATTAAGAGGAAATTAATTAATCAAAATATTCCCTCCAGTCCTTTTTATGAGATCCTACTAACTAAATTACATGGTTTAAGAAAATAGTTAAAATTAGTTTAAAACAATAAATATATAAAAATTAAATTTTTTTAAATACATCCTTATTTAATGAGGGAGCAAATAAGAAAGAAAAATAACAGTCATAAGATAAAAGATAAAAGAGAATAGAGAATTAATTAGGGATAAAATTAGTAAAAACATATTTAATATTTAGAGAATCCTTAATATGATCTTACAAAAAAACCCAAACCAATTCAAATTTTGGATCTTATAAATAGAGCAAGAGGTAGTACTTCACAAATAATCAGTTCAAGTTGACTTAATTCTTAACAACAAAAACTAAACTCACAAAATAATAAAAGAAATAAAAGTAGGAGAGCTATACACGGAAAATAAAAAAAAAACAAAAAGAAGAGCCATAGCATCAAGAGATTTATCAAAGTTTGAAATTGATACTTATCGATCGTCATTGTCTAGTTCCCTCAAAAATATTCTAGAGACCCAAGGTAGGTTTCATGAATTAAAAAATTTATTCAAGTAAAGGTTATCCGTAAGTAAGACCTTCAACTTACAGATTTAAACTCTTTTTTTTTTTGTTGAAATATGACTGGCATTCATATTAATTACTCCACCAACCCTAAATATAAGATCTTTTTTCTAGTGTAAAATACACTATAAAAAGGGTCTTATATTTAGGACCGGAGTAGTATATTAACATCTATTGTCTACTTTTCCAATGGATCTCTACTACTCTAAATTTAAGATGATACAAATATTCCATTCCGATCTCCATAAATAACATGCATATATTATCACCAAAAAAAAAAATTACATGCGTATATGGATGTTAATATTAATACAAAAAGCAATGCAAAGTAAATTGATCAAATAATAATCAAATTTTAATTGATCACTTTTTCCTCATCATAATATATTATATAAAAGGACATTAATATTGACTGGATGTTTTTAAAAAATAATATTCCATGTAAACACGTTCAATATAAGATTGAAGCTATATTGAAAGTTCTGCCAAAATAAACCCATTGAAATTTGAAAATCAAAATCAAAATATTTTAAAAGAAAATTTCAAGACCAACACAAACCTTGATCCAATTAGTATAAGAGGAAAGCTTAATCTAGAATGTTCAAATATTTCCGTATGGGTATGAAAAGAGGATAGATACCGTACGCGTCTGGTATTATAATTTAGTTCAACTAAGCCATAAGTTGATATGTATAATTAATTAATTAATTAGAATGAATCTATATGCTTTTACACGAAACTCAGGCATCCATATTTTTTAAAATATTAAAAGATAGAGAGAATATTATAAGAATGAAGTGTTCACACAGTCAGGCACTCCTGACCAACCCAGAAAGTTGAAACATTTCATTCTTGAATCACTTTTTTATATCTTTGTCATTCCCAATTTGGTCCCACCTTAGTGCCAAACTAGAAATTCTCGTTTTTCTTATGGCAAATTTTTTTTGGATTTCCTTAATTTGTGAGTTATCAATATTAGAAAGAAAATGTAGCAAAATTTGGTAAAATTTGTTTATATTTTTCTATATATTTTTTCTAAACGTAAAAATATTATAAATGGACAGTTTCATTTCCTCCCATAATTAAAGGTAAAATTAAAAAAAAAAAGGATCAATGTTAAGCTATGTAGAGAGATATCAAATCTTTACTCATTTCTTTAAATTATTAAAAGAGTTTTTTGACAATCATACTTAGGCAATCCATCACGTCATCAATGTATCCGTTCAACCTTTTCGTTTTTAACAAAACAAGCAAATTATCTTGACATTTTATTAAATAACTCTCATTTACAGCGTACATGTACATACACCAATTCTTAGAGATTGGATACTAATTTAGCATGGATTCTAAATCTCTATTTGCGAGTTTAATTGCTAAGCAAACATGCACTTCGACTTCAATTTTTTTTTTTAACTAACATTGATATATAACTCAAATGACAATAGCTACTACGATCTTTAAGATTTTATTAAGTGTGAGATTGTGAGTTCAAATTCTTTATAAAAAGTATCATAGGTGCATGAGTTATGATTTAAAATAACATATGCATATATCATAATGAGTATAAATTAGTATTTATTTATATAATTATACAGTAAAGAACTCAAATTTTTTCGCATGCAACGCATCTATCTCCCTTTCATTAGTATACAGTACGCACACAGCCTCCCCCTATATAGAGTATCGTTTGAAAAAGTCTTGATAAATTGTTAAATATCTCCTTCTCAGCCATTAATGAACATTAAATGAAATTCAGGATTTTAAAATTAATAATTATAAAAGATATGGAACTAAAATTGCAACAATGAGTTAATAAGTTTTGACGGATTTGTCATATGGCCGATGGGCGATCGCATCACAGCCTATAACTATGGCAACAATAAATAATAATCAATGTTCATATTATAAATATAAACATAAACAGTCAATGACATAATTTATAGATGAATCTCATATCTCTAGGAACGTATAATATTCTCTTTTTTCTTTTAATGTTTATCTTTTTCTCTCCATTAATTAATCAATACGCTTGAGGAAACATACATAATTATATACATATGTCGCATTTTCTCCCCTACTTTATAGAAGGAGGAAATGGTCAAAACTCACAACACGTAATATATATATATATAGCAGAGCATGTATCCATAATAAATAGATACATAGTCTGAGTTGCAAAAGTTTGATATATATGTCTATGTGTATTCGTCTTCTGTGTGTTAAAAAACAGTTCTAACCACTGCTAGTGCAAGAAGCTATATTTGGCCAATCGTCATAGGGTCCACAAATTTATGTGAACCTTACCACATACTGTGTCTTGGCTTCTCTGTCATCTTCTCCTTAAAACTCTCCTCCTTTTTCAATATTCAAAATCTCATAAATTTTCTTTTGTTTTTTGAGGTTTTGACGCTCCCTCAAGTATCAAAAACCCTTTTCTCACAAAGAGTAGTTTCTCAGCTATTCAGTTCCATAAATTTTCTATATTTACACACACACACACACACATATGATCATTTAATTTGGTTTCATTAGAATAGTTAAGACGTGTTTGGCTACAACAATGATGGAGGGTGGTGATATGCACAAAGCTAGTAGCAGTTTTCGTGCAAGCGGTTCTTCAGTATGGAGGAATACGTCCATGGATGCTTTTTCGAGGTCTTCTCGCGAGGAAGACGACGACGAAGAAGCTCTCAGATGGGCTGCGCTTGAGAGGCTTCCTACTTACAATCGGTTAAGGAAAGGTTTGTTTACATCTTCACATGGAGAGATTAATGAAATCGATGTCTCCGACATCGGTTTACAAGAAAGAAGGAAACTTCTTGAGAGATTGGTCCGAGTCGCTGAAGAAGACAATGAGAAGTTTTTGTTAAAACTCAGGGAACGAATCGATCGGTATAATTAATCTTCAATAATTCTGTGTTTTCTGATTTTTTGTTGATTTTAATCTCAGAATATCTCTAGAGGAAAAAAAAAATATATTAAACCCTTTTTTCTTTGGATTTTCTGAAGAGTTGGGATTGAGATTCCGACGATCGAAGTTAGGTTTGAGCATTTGAATGTTGAGGCAGAAGGTTATGTGGGAAGTAGAGCGATGCCGACATTCTTAAACTTCGTGGTCAATATATTCGAGGTAAGCATGTTTAGGATATAATTATGTTTTACGTACTTTTGGGGTTAATGGAGGTGTTTCATCTATAATTACAAGGGTTAATATAATTTTCGACCCGTTAAGTTTGTCCCAATTTTGATTTTGGTCCTCAAATTTTAAACTATAGGTTTTTGTCATTTATGGGATAAAATGGTTTAAGTTTTTATTATTAAATAATAAGGACTAATATTTTAAATAAAAAAAAATTGAGGGAGCAAAACTTAAAATTTGAAATTTGAAAGACCAAAACGATTGAGGACAAATTTGAAGGACCAAAGTTTGTATTAACCCTAATAACAATGAGACTTAATAATTATATTCTGAAAATTTTGTATCTCTTGATCATCCAGAGTTGCTTGAATTGTATTCTTCCAAGCAAAAAGAGGCATGTGAATATCCTTAGAAAAGTGAGTGGAATTGTGAGACCTCGTAGGTGAGCTCCAATGTTGCTATTTCATGTGTTACTTTATCTGTGTCTCGTGATAATTCATTAAAAATTGCATTTTCCATTCTTTTTAAGGATGGCACTACTTTTGGGTCCTCCAAGTTCTGGAAAAACCACACTCCTTTTAGCTCTAGCAGGAAAACTTGATCCAGACCTTCAGGTAAATAAAAAATGAATCCAATCGATCATCAGTTAATATAATTACTCCTCTTAATTTATTTTAATCAAGTGTTTTGATTAATAAGTATATATATATAATAATAATCCTCCAGGTTTCAGGGAAAGTGAGTTATAATGGATATGAAATGAATGAGTTTGTACCTCAAAGAACAGCGGCTTATATAAGTCAAAACGATTGTCACATTGGAGAAATGACAGTAAGAGAAACCTTGGCTTTTTCTGCACGGTGCCAAGGGGTAGGATCACGTTATGGTTAGTCAATTAATGGCCTTTTGTCTCTTTTTCTGTCTTATCTCTTTCTGGGTTATTCATATCGCTTTCTCTTTTAATTTCTTATTCTTAATCTAATTTAATTTGGCTCATTGATCCTTTATCAATTGGTACTTTACAGACTTGCTTTCTGAATTATCAAGAAGAGAGATAGCAGCAAATATCAAGCCTGATCCAGATATTGATATCTACATGAAGGTCAAATCATAAGCCTCCTGCCTTTCTACTTTCTACATAGTATTTTTCTCATACTAGATTTATTTATATCAATATCTATAATTAATAATATATTAAATATATGGATCATCATCGTCTTGTATCTGTTCATTTCGTTTGATCAACTCATTTACAAGCTCTGGTCAGACTTATTGGTTGAGATTTTTTTCCCCCTATACATAAGTTTCATCATTATCTATATAGCAGGCCCCACTTAATTCAAATTAAAAGGATTTTAAATTTTTAATCTTTTAAAATATTAAAGTTGCCCCTAGATTTTTATGAAACTTGCTCCTAACATTCAAACAAGTTATGATTAAGTTTTAGTGTTTTAAGTAATCTGCTGTAAATTTTCTAAAATTTAGTATTGTCTTTCTTAAATTTTTCACAACCAGTTTTTGCAAATAAAGTGTAATCTTTAGGATTCTAATTTGGTCAAAAAAAAATCTTTAAGATTCTAGATAAATTTTCTCTTGCTTTTCAAACTCAATAAAGGTACGTGGTACCTACCCCTAATATATCTATACCAGCAAAATATAAACATTAATTGGGTGGGACCCACTGATATACGTTGCTAATTGATCTCACGTGTAGACTTAATTTGGCTTAAAACTTTTAATATTTTATAATACATTGTCCCTTTCAGTTTATAATCACTAATATAGTTCTAATAACCAGGCAACCGCATCTAAAGGCCAGGAGGCAAACCAGATGATGACTGAGTATGTGCTTAAGGTATAAATATAATATCAACGAGGTGTTATTGTTTTATTCAAAGTTTAGTAAATTAAATTAAGAGTAATTAGCGATAAGGTTACAATAATTTGTAGATTTTGGGGCTGGAAATATGTGCTGATACTATGGTAGGGGATGAAATGCTACGTGGCATATCTGGTGGACAAAGGAAACGTGTTACTACAGGTAAAATGATTCAATTTCCTTGCCCAGACATTTTTTTGGGTCTGTTTTTTCCCCTGTTAAACCCCATCTTCAAGTTAATCTTTAATCTTTGATTACATTAAAAGCATTAAATATAAATATCATGATATTAGTATGTTTGATTATGGAGATAAAAAAGATTGTCAAGTACACCATAATTAAGTGTTTTGACCTACTGTTGGATTGATCTCTTTAGGTGAAACAGTCCTCACATGTTCATGTGCATACAAAGTACTGCGCGTAAAATAGGCCTATTTTATGTGCATTTAGATAAGTGAAAAACTCAAAATCTTAAAGAGGAGTTTAACCTTTGAAATAACATATCCATGTTACCGTTTGGATTAGCTGTAGAGAAGTGATTTTAAGCTGTATGAGATAAATATGTGAGAAATAAATGTAAAAGTACTTAATTTTAAGTTAATCTAAACCACCATTATATTATGCTTATGTTACGATTTTCTTCATCAAAACCTGAAATTTGTAAATTGTAATGTTGCTATGGATACAGGAGAGATGATGGTTGGACCAGCAAATGCAATGTTCATGGATGAAATATCCACAGGCTTAGATAGTTCCACAACCTTTCAAATTGTGAAATGTCTAAGACAAATTGTTCACATTATGAATGGAACTGCACTTATCTCTTTGCTACAACCTGCCCCTGAGACTTATGGGCTTTTTGATGACATTATTTTGCTCTCTGAGGGCCAAATTGTGTACCAAGGACCACGCGAACACGTCCTCGAGTTTTTTGAGTACATGGGTTTTAAATGTCCTGAGAGAAAAGGTGTTGCTGACTTCCTTCAAGAAGTAAGCCACTCTTTACCTTTTATCCAAGAACCTATATGTGTGTGTGTAGATATAAACTCAGATTTTCAAATCATATTTACCTGTTTTTGCAGGTTACTTCGAAAAAGGATCAAGAGCAGTATTGGATGCGTAGAGATGAGCCATACAGGTTTATAACAGTGACTGAATTTTCTGAGGCATTTCAATCATTTCATGTGGGTAGAACAGTTGGAGATGAGCTTGCTGTTCCATTTGATAAGAGTAAGAACCATCCAGCTGCTTTAACAACCAAGAAATATGGTATTAGCAAGATGGAATTGCTAAAAGCTAATTTCTCAAGAGAGTTCTTGCTAATGAAAAGGAACTCATTTGTTTACATATTCAAGCTATGCCAGGTACGCTGCTATGTACAACTCTTTCAGTTTCTCCAAAAAGATATACAGATACAGGCACAATCATGTGAATTGCCTTTTTTTGCTTTTAGCTTGCAGTAATGGCAATAATAGTAATGACAGTATTCCTGCGAACTGAGATGCACAAGGACTCAGTGGACCATGGAGGATTTTATGTAGGAGCATTGTTTTTTGCTATTATTATGTTACTGTTCAATGGGATGTCTGAGATGTCTATGACTATTGGGAAGCTTCCTGTTTTCTTCAAGCAACGAGATCTCTTGTTCTATCCCGCTTGGGCGTATGCCATTCCTAGTTGGATCCTGAAGATCCCAGTTACTATTGCTGAAGCTGCTGTTTGGGTTTGCCTAACCTATTATGTTATTGGATTTGACTCATATGTTGGCAGGTATAAAACAAATTCTTCACTCAAATAACTTGTGCACTCAATGAGTGTGTTCGGAGAATTTCATTTAACAATTAAGATTTGGAAACTTGGTGTTCATGTAGGTTTTTCAAGCAATTACTTTTGCTATTTGTTATGGGACAAATGGCTTCTGCAATGTTCAGAACAATTGCAGCAACATCTAGGAACATGATAATTGCAAACACATTAGGAGCATTTGCAATAGTGACTCTTCTAACACTGGGAGGCTTCATCTTGTCAAGAGGTAGAATATGAATAATTCATAGATTAATATATAATATATATTGCACGATCTTGAAACTTCAAGTTATTCAATTTGAACATTGCACAATGCTTCTTTCTTTGGTTTCCTATTAAAACAGACGATATCAAGAAATGGTGGATATGGGGCTACTGGATTTCACCTATGATGTATGGCCAGAATGCGATAATGGTTAATGAGTTCCTTGGCAAAAGTTGGAAACATGTAATTTCTTCAATCACCCATCAACCAAAAAATTTTCTTTTCTTTTGAAAGAAAACCTTACTTAGGTCCTTGACAGATAAATTTCTTGTGTCTGCAATGAAAGGTCCTCTCAGGTACATCTGAGCCACTAGGAGTTTTGGTTCTCAAGTCTCGTGGGTTCTTCGTACATGCATATTGGTACTGGATAGGTGCTGGAGCGTTGATTGGATTTGTACTTCTACTCAACATTACTTACACTCTTGCCCTCACATATCTTAGTCGTGAGTATTTATCTATTTTTTTTCCTGTATTTCTTTGTAGATGTTCTTGTGATGATACTTTACATTACAGTACTGATATGTGAACATGTGATGGGCAGCATTCGAGAAGCCACAAGCTGTAATATCTGAAGAATCTCCTGACAAGGCTCAAGAAAGCATTGAGTTAACAATTAGAGGAGGTGCGCCAAGCAGTGCTAGTGCTCTGCTTTCAGGGAACATGGAAGATAGTCATGGGAGAAAAAGAGTGACTTCAAAGTCTGAATCAGAGAGGTCAGAGGGTATAGTTAATTCAAGTCAAAATAGGAAAAGAGGAATGGTTCTTCCATTTGAACCACATTCAATCACCTTTGATGAAATTATATACTCCGTTGACATGCCTCCGGTAACTTTGACTTTGTTAAAATTGTATTAAATGAGAACTAGATTGATTGAAAAGACTCTCAATCTATTTATCTGAGCTTGCAGGAGATGAAGAACCAAGGTGTAACTGAGGACAAATTAGTTCTTCTAAGAGGTGTTAGTGGAGCATTCAGGCCAGGTGTTCTCACAGCTTTGATGGGTGTGAGTGGAGCAGGAAAAACTACATTGATGGATGTGTTGGCAGGTAGAAAAACTGGTGGATATATTGAAGGAAACATGACTATTTCAGGATATCCGAAAAAGCAAGAGACTTTTGCCAGAATCTCTGGTTACTGTGAACAGAATGATATCCATTCTCCTCATGTCACAGTCTATGAATCCTTACTTTACTCAGCATGGCTTCGTTTATCTCCTGAAGTTGATTCCAAAGCTCGAAAGGTTTGCACATGACCCCCTGAAGTTTAACATGTCACTGTGTCTGATTTTGATCCCAAAATTGATATCTTTTGTCTTGGTTCTTATAAATGGTCACAGATGTTTATTGAGGAAGTGATGGAGCTTGTAGAATTGAATCCATTAAGGCAATCCTTGGTTGGTTTGCCCGGTGTGAGCGGTCTCTCCACTGAACAACGCAAAAGACTAACCATAGCTGTTGAACTAGTGGCTAATCCATCAATAATCTTTATGGATGAGCCTACTTCAGGATTGGATGCAAGGGCTGCTGCAATTGTTATGAGGACAGTTAGAAATACAGTAGATACAGGAAGAACAGTTGTCTGCACAATCCACCAACCAAGTATTGACATATTTGAAGCTTTTGATGAGGTGAGAAATGACCAAGGTTGAAAAAGATTATGGACTATGAATAATTAATTTGCTTTACCATTAATTACACTGACAATGTTTGGTCCATGTTAAACAATGTGGTTTCAGCTTTTATTATTGAAGAGAGGAGGACAAGAAATTTATGTTGGGCCATTGGGTCGTCATTCTTGCCACCTCATCAAGTATTTTGAGGTAAAATGTCTTTGTACTTGTTCTTGGGTTAAGACAAATTAAACTTGGATTGAAGTCATGCAGATTAAATTCTAGATGAGATGTTAAGGTTAGGCTTAAATATAAGTCCACTGTAAAATTTGACTTCAAAAAAGTGTTCACTTATTATAGCTAAAGCCCATCATTAGACATCAAAACTTGCTAAAGTACACTAATCTTTCTAGTTCGATCTTTCAATTAAAATTATGGTTCTTCATAGTTTTTACTAATACAGCAATCTTTATACCTTTGGTTTTATATCCAGGGGATTGAAGGGGTTAACAAAATCAAAGATGGGTACAACCCAGCAACTTGGATGTTAGAAGTTACAACTCAAGCACAAGAAATGGTTTTGGGTGTTGATTTTGCAGATCTATACAAAAAATCTGAACTATACAGGTAAAGCACATTCCTATCGTAATATAAATTGACTAACTATTCAATTAGTGAGACTATTCTTAAAGCATCATATATGTGACTTATATTAGGAGGAACAAAGAACTTATAGCAGAATTGAGCAAGCCTATTCCTGGCTCAAGAGAGCTCTATTTTGCTACTCAATATGCACAACCATTTATGGTGCAATGCATAGCTTGCTTGTGGAAACAACATTGGTCCTACTGGCGAAACCCTCCATATACTGCAGTAAGATACTTGTTCACCACCTTCATAGCATTGATCTTTGGAACAATGTTCTGGGATCTTGGATCCAAAATGTAAGCTCCATTTTACAAACCTATTTGAACTCCATTACATTCTTCTTTCTTCATACCCCATGTTCACTTTGAACCTTCTTTAAATCTTGCAGAGACAAGAAACAAGACCTATTTAATGCCATGGGTTCAATGTACAATGCTGTACTCTTTCTTGGGGTTCAAAATGCATCTTCTGTGCAGCCAGTGGTGGCCGTTGAACGAACTGTATTTTACAGAGAAAAAGCTGCTGGAATGTATTCAGCACTCCCCTATGCATTTGCACAAGTAATTGATCAATTGATTACACAACAACCTTAAAGATGCAATTTTTATATAGTATGTTTTGATGGGGCTGTATATTGATTAAGGTTTAAAAAACTTGTGTTTTTGTCTTGTCAGGTTGCCATAGAGCTGCCTTATATTCTGGCACAAGCGGTGACATATGGTGTGATAGTATATGCGATGATGGGATTTGATTGGACTGTAGCAAAATTCTTTTGGTATTTGTTCTTTATGTACTTCACATTCCTATACTTCACCTTTTATGGCATGATGACTGTGGCTGTCACTCCAAATCATCACGTTGCTGCAATTGTTGCTGCTGCATTTTATGCAGTTTGGAATCTCTTTTCAGGATTCCTCATCCCAAGACCCGTAAGTACAATCTCTATATCTATATATAATACAAAACCTTTAACAAACTATGTTATCAATTATAAATCAAGTGGCTCTGATGGGTACCTAAGTGGGATAAGGAAATTTATCTCAAAAGCTAACTGTTAAGGTGAGAGAACAAACCCACTTAAATCCCTCATTGAGCATCTTGTATGTTAGACTTAGTATCCTATACTACCATGTCTCCATTTCTTAGATCCTATGGAAAACATGGAACTATGCATTGATTGAGTTTTACAAAGTACCAAGTTATTTGGGATTTTCTTAGATATTAATGACTGTAAAATGGAACAGGGGATTCCGGTGTGGTGGAGATGGTACTACTGGGCATGTCCAGTGGCATGGACTTTATATGGATTGTTGGCTTCACAATATGGAGACGTGACAACCAAGATTGAGACAGGCCAAACGGTGAAAGAATTTCTGCGTAGTTATTTTGGGTTTAGAGATGATTTTGTTGGAGTTGTTGCCGTTGTCGTTGTTGCCTTCACTGTGTTATTTGCATTCATCTTTGCCTTCTCCATAAAAGTCTTCAACTTCCAAAGGCGATAGTTTATGTGATCTTAGTCAATATTATTTATATAGTGTCATATAATTACATTTTGTTTAGTTCTTTTGGCCAACTTGTAGTCAATTAACATCGTTCTAAAGTTAGGTGAATTCTTACACCACACAAAAATTAATTGTCAATATCAAAGTGAAGATCCATTATTGATATGAATATTGAAACTCATTTTAGATATCACGTAAAATATAAACTTATATTTTATTTGTTACAGATATTTATAGCATAATGTTCAATTTTTAATGATCAGAAATACAATAAATACTTACTGAACTTTAAAAGAAAAATAGATTGAGTTGTTCATCCAGACAAACAAAAGAGGAGACACAACATCCAAAAAAAAAAAAAATCATTTGCGGAAAAGGAAGAACTTCAAAAAAAAAAAAATGAAAAAAATTGTTGTGAAAAATAAAATAAAGGAAATGAAGTAGGAGATAAAAGGAAGGAAAGAACCTTCCCCAAACCAAACACTACTTTGTCACTCCGTTTCTTCAGGCATTTAATTTGGATTTTTTAATAAAAAAAAATTTAGGTGAGGTGGGTTTCAAAGACTCACCAACAAGGTTTTTACATTGACAGTAAGATTTAAACTCACAATCTTGTAAGTTTACTCTAACCAATAATTTAATATTTGTAAGAATATCCTAAAAAAAAATTAATAGAATTTAACAATGAGAGAACACACCTAAAAGTGAGGGAGAATTACCAAGGATGCAAAAGTTAGTATCATGACTATAAGACTATCTAACCACGTGGTCGGCCATGGATACGCCTTCCCCACAAATGAGTGCCGAAAACCTGCTTGGCAACATTTCTAAAGGAGCATTGGTCCGTCACAACCCCCTTCATCATTTATAATAATTTAATATTTTAAATGTTTTAAACCTAAATTATTAAAACTGTATTTAAATATACACGCGGAGCAGGGAATAAAGTTGGGAAAAATTACAATAAGGTCCCACCTAAGGGAATTAAATATAAAAAAACCCCTTAAAATATCAAATTATTCTCAAGCCCCAAGATACCTCATTGCAAAAAAATTTATTTGTTTAATTACCAAAAGCATGTATTGACAATTGAAAAAACAGGTGTTGACAATTCAAAGTGTAATGATTAACAATTATCACGGCAGGTATTGACAATACGTTTTCTCAGTACATCACAAAATATAATGCATGAGTTATCAATACTTATCGTGATAGTTGTTAATCTTTACACATTAAGTTGTCGACAACTGTTGTGTCAATGCAAACTTAAAAAAAGAAGAAGGACAATTTGATAATTAAACAAATAAATTCTCTTGCAACAAGGTTTCTTGACACTTCAGAATAATTTGATAATTTCAAAAAACTTTTTGTATTTAATTCTCTTGGATGGCACTTTGTTACAATTTTCCCATAAAGTTGCCGTGGAAGATGGTGAGCAAGGTAGGCCTGAGAATTGGGCTCCTGAAGCAGAGAAGCCCAGTAAAATATTATTGTTTACAACCCTTTTTTTTTGGGGCACCTTTTTTCGGTGAAAATGGTTCATGGCCCTTTAACCCAAGAAGGATCGTGGAATTTGCAACAAAAAAGCAAAATGTATCGTGGACTTTGCCACTAAGGGATTATGTGTGGATTTTTCTCGCCTAAGATTGACTTCATATCATTTTTTGTTTTATTTTGGGCCTTGGCCCATTGCATACCAAAAATAAGATTATACTCTGTCGATTTTTTCTTATGAGAAATAATCTCTTTTATAGTGATATTTTCAATATACAAAACAAGTCATTTTTTTAAAATTTTAAACTGTTCATTTTTATCTGTATTAAATATGTGCTATTTATTATCTCTCTCCAACAAATTTCTACTCATTATTTATCATGTACTTTTTTTTATAAACAAAAATATAATTGGAAAACATATATATATATATTACACATTTAATACTTTTAACTAAATCTAACTAATATTTTAAATAGCGTGATTTTGATAATTGTTTCTTATAAAAAAAATTATTGGAGGAAGTAGTATCTAGCAACTTCGGTTTTATTCATTGGTTTGTCCCTCCAAATTCAAGTGTTGTTGGTCATAAGCATTGTTATTATCTTATCAATAAATGCTCCCAAGTTTCACAATCACCATATTGGAATCATATATTTTGAAAAAAGGAGTTTATTTTGTATGGGGTTTTTCTCGGAGCCCAATTCATCAGGTTGATTGGGCTTTAGCCCATAATCATGTCGAATTTATTGAAGAGCAACTTATGTCATGATTGAGAAAGAGAATGATTGGACCATTTCTCCTTTCAAATGATTCTGGAAAAACATTTATCACTATCATTAATTTATATGACAAACCAATAAGAGTTGGTCTAGTTAGGGTGTGTTTGGATGAAACCAAACCGTGGTTTGAAAAAGTGATTCTGGAAAATAGATTCTGGGAAGAATAGATTCTGGAAAAAATAAATGTTATGAAAAAGTGATTTTGAGAAGTGAGAGTGTTTGGATAGTTGTTATCAGAAGCACTTTTTATATATACAAATTACTAAAAAAAAGACATAAGTTAATATGATAATTATAGAAAAAATAGATTTTATGATATATTTTAATTTGAAGGAATAAAATTGTTAATAATATATTTTTTATTACCATAATTAATAATACATAAGATAATATAATTAATAAATAATTAATATGTATATATATTTTTAAAATGTAAGATTAAATATGTTTATAAAAAAATATGTTTATAAAAAAAATAACAAGATACATATCCTATAAGCTCTCACACTCTCCCTTATTTCTCCAAAAGCAAAAAATTTCTGCTTTTTCCAAAACCATGGTTTTGGTCCAAAACCACGGTTTGCCCAAAACTAGTGAGTGTTTGGGTGACTTATCACCCAAACCATGGTTTGGGGTGTCACCCAAACGGGGCCTTAGTAAGTTATCAACTCATAACTTATAAGATCGTGAGTTTGAATTTCGCTATCGATGTAAGGACCTTATTGGTAGGTGATTTATAAATACCTCTGTAAACGTTTCGAGCCTGGAGGCATACTCTAATCCCGGTGAGCCCCTAAAACCCAACTTACCTGAAAAAAATTTATATGACGATACACAGTAGATGATGTGATGTGGTTAGTTATTACTACATAAATATTTTTAGGACGATTCAAATCTTTGACATTACAATTTTCAGAACTTGGTGTATATTGTCAAATGTCAAGTAAATTATGGATGGTTGAAGGGTAGGGGATATACAACTTCTAATTGATATTAAAACTATTTAACTAATTTAAATAAATTTAAAAAAATAGTTAAACTAATTATTCGTAATAAATAAAAGTTTAGTTTTTTAAAGTATTCTTTTTAATCACGACTCTTCTTAAATGGGAGTTTCTTGACATGTGTAATTAATGGGAATATATTAAAAAATGAATTACAAATTTGAGAGACAAAAGAGATTGAAATCTTATTTTTAAAATTAAATTTAACTTTTAACTAGTTTTTACAATAAAAATAAAATGAAATAGGAATATTACAAGATGGCTGGCAAGCTAGTACTAATGAGACTTCATGGTCATATCAAACCTACCATAATGCAAAACAACACGTAATTGAACCAAGCCATTGACTTTTATTAAAAAAGCTTTGACACGCAGGGTGGGAGAACTTTTATTGTCTTCAATGTAATGTCATACTATTACAACCTTTATAGGGAAAATATAGTTATACAGCCAATTTCAAAAATAACGAATAATTTTATTATTCGATGAGGTCACGTGTCATTGTTTTACGCGTAAATTTCAGCTACAAGCAAATTCAAACTTGGTGTATCAAAATGGACTATTTTTTTTGGTTGCTAAAATGGACTATTATTTTAATTGAATAATGTTGGGTTTTGTTTTGTGTGTTTTTGACCATTTTAATTGAATCATTATTAATAAATCACTTTCTCAGTTTAGCAAATTAAGATGGTATTCGGATGAAACCAAATCATAGTTTTAAAAATAATTTTACGATATATGAAATAAATATGTGAGAGAAGTTTTTTTTTATATGTGTAAAAACACTTTTTAAAAGTGCTTGTTATGTTAGCCAAGCACTCCCTAAGTTATAATCACAACTCTAACTGACCGCATCTATACATGCAAATATTATTACAAGGGCTATCTTAAAAAATATATATATTAGATAAAATATATTGGAATCTTATATTTAGAATTAAAATAAAAATTAAATGAATTTTTAGGTAGTACAATAACTTAATATTTGGACAACCCGACTTAACTTATTTACCGAGTGAAGGGGGCTGGTAATCGGATCTTTCTTTCTCCAGTTTCATGACACGTAGAGCAGAGGGGATAAAGGATTTTTTTTTTCCACTAAAACATAGATACCTTTCTATTAGAGACAATCCTATTCAAAACACTATCCAATATTAAATGTAGATATCTCTCTCAATGAAGGAAAAAAAAAAAACAGAGTTTATTTGTATGGGGCTTTTCTTGGAGCCCAATTCATCATGTTGATTACGGGCTAAATTGATTGGGCTTTTAGCCCATAATCATGTACAAGTTATTGAGGGGCAGCTTATGATTTACAGAGAGAAAGATTGGACCATTTCTCCTTTCAAATGACTTGGAAAAACATTTATCACAATCATTAATTTATATGACAATACATAGTAGGTGATGCGATGTAGTTAGTTATTGTTATAAATATTTTTGAGACGATTCAAATCTTTGACATTTCAATTTTCAGAACTTGGTGTGTATTGTCAAATGTCAAGTAAATTATGTATGGCTGACGGGTAGGGTAGGGGATATACTACATCTAATTAATAAAAGTCATTAACTAATTTAAATAAATTAAAAAAATTAGTTAAACTAGTTATTTATAACAAATAAGAGTTTATTTCTTAAAATGTTCTTTTTAATCATGACTATTCTTGAATGGGAATCCTTTGACATGTATAATTAATAAAGATATATAAAAAATGAATCACAAATTTAAAAAACAAAATAAATAGAAATCTTATATTTTAAAATAAATTTAATTTTTGATAAGCTCTTATATTAAGAATAAGAGATAGTATGAAAATGATAAGATGGCAGGCCTGGCATTAACGAGACTTCATAGTCATAATACACCTACCATAATGTAAAACAA